CCTCCCCTTCTCATTACACCTGCAGGACAGAGGCTGTGATTTTCCCCTGACCCCGGCCACGGCTGTCACAAGGAATTGCAGGGCTGCCAGAAAACTGCAGATTCGGAGAGACAAAGACTACTTTCCCCAGAAACGAGGGGAAAATTGCTGCATCTGCAAAGATTTCCCAGGCCCTGTCCCCTCCTGTGCACATCTATCTGGAGTGACACCTTCCTTCAAGCACCCTTCATTTCATTCACGCTCCTGCAACCATTTGCATTAAGGTGACCCCGGCTGCGGCAGGGCTGGCCAGAATGGGGCCGGGGGGCCACGGATGCCCCATCAGCCCCGGGGGATGCTCTGGGTTTCCTCCTTCAGCCCACGGAGTCAAACTGGAGATGCAAACGGCACTGGGCTGAATGGGAAGCCACCCTGCAGGGACCTCTGCAATGAGGCAGCCCCGGCCTCGGCCACTCCGTGGCCATTAAAAGGAGATGTCAAAGGCAATAAGAGGAGCTCTCGGCGAGCAGAGGGTCGAGGAGTTTGCCCCGTGTTTGTAGAAACGGAGCCCCAGCTCGAGGGCATGAGTGGCACCCGGGAGAAGTAAGACAGTGGCAGACAGAGGTGGGAGATGCCCATTGCTGACATCCTCACATGGACATCCAGGACCTGGGCTCTGCCCGGCCCCCTGGCACCCTGAGAGCAGAGAAGTGACAGGAGGGATGGCTGCTGACCAGAGGCCAGCATCAAGTGTTTTGGGATCCACAGGGTGAGCAGGGACCGTGTCCCCATGGCTGTCCCACCTATGACAGCACCTTCAGCTCCCCAGCTCTGCGCCCTCCCGTCCCACACGCTGCTGCTCCCCACCAGGGTGATCTCCCCAGCTCAGACCTGCCTGCCAGGACACACAGATAGGCTGTGGTGGCTGAGGGACCCATCTGAGCATTAGTGGTGTCAGGAGCAGAGTCGTGCTCGGCCGATGCTCCATTTCCCGCAGCCGCACAAATCCCAACTGGGCTTAAACACACCAAAATCTGGTGTGTTTTCTCTGCCCGGGAGCTGCATCCAGCTGTTTTCCAGCCTTCGAGCCCCAGGAACCGGGGGCTGATCCCCTTTGCAAGTGACTAAAATCCAGTGTGTTTTCTCTGCCCAGGAGCTGTATCCAGCTGTTTTCCAGCCTTCGAGCCCCAGGAACCGGGGGCTGATCCTCTTTGCAAGTGACCCCTTCTGCTTGTGACCGCGAGATCCCAAGCGGTGGCAGCTTTACGAGTCCCACGGCATTTTGCTGGCAGGTTGTGTTACCTGGCAACCTGCGGTGGGGAGAGGAGGGAAACGCTCAGCCAGCGGCACCAGCAAAGCTCCAAACTGGGGTGTGGGTTCCCCCAAGTCCCCCCCAGCACAGCAGCACTGCCTCTGCTTGCCCAGCTCCCGGCGTGGAGCTCTGCAGACGCCTCTGCCGCAAGCTCCTGCCCCACCGTGGCCAAAGCCCTCCTGGCTCCAGAGGTTTCTGCCCTCCATTGCATGGTCTTGGGCTCCTGGATCTTCTTGCCAAGGCTTTTGGGCAGCTGCAGGACATCTCCCTGTTGGCCATGTGGCAGCTGCCCTGGTTTATTGGTGTCCCCTTGGGGACATCCGTCGGGCTGGAGGTCCTGATGTCTCCAAACCACTCCTTCCTAAGGAGAGGAGAAGCTGCGAGGCTGGGAAGTGTTGGGGACGAGTGGAGCTTCACTTGCAAACCTACTCTGGAGCTGGGGAGGGAGCCCCAGGCAGGAACTGAGGCACTGCTGCCTCCCGGGTACAAAGCTGAGCCGGGCTCTCCATACACTGGCTCAGGCAGTTGCACTGTGGGGGCCAGGTCCTTGGTGCCCCAAAGACACCATGAGAACATCCTGTGGGCTACCTTTCACCCTGGGGCTGTGGTTCTCTGCAGCCCCTGTGCCCATCATCCCCCCTAACCCCCCCCAAGCATCCGTAGCCTCCTCAGCCATCCGGATGGGCGAGTGGCTCTGCTGGGTGTGGGAGACAGCAGCTCCAGCAGATGCAGCCTGTGGGGAGGGAAGGATAAGAGCCAGCTTGTCCCTGGGGCAGCTGGAGCAGAGCTGGAGATGGGCTGAACCCCGGGGAGCACGGAGGGAGAGGCTGAGCTCTGCCGTGGGAGATGCTCCTTGAGAAGGAAGAGATGCCCTTTGCTCCTGCCAAAACCACAGCTCTTTGCTGGCTCCCCAGGCAAGCTCTGAGCTGTGGGAGGGTGGGCAGCCATCGCAGGCAGCCCTGGGTGCTCTGTCCCTGAGCCGTCCCCCCCTCCAGGTACAAACCAGGACCCCGGTTGTGCTTTTGAGGCAGATGGACACTGTGGTTTGCATCAGGCTTAGCTGCTGGGGCAAACTTTAGTCCAGGTACCCCCCACCTAACTGCTAGGGTCCACCCAGCCCCAGGGGAGCCTCAGGGCAGTAAGGGACAGTCCCGTTTCCCCCCAAGCCATTGCTCGCCCCAGAGCTGCTCGAGCAGCTCATTTGGCATCCCAGCCCCTCGCCCTGCGCTGCTCCGCTGCCCCCGTCCCCCTCCACCCCCCCTGCCTGTCCAGCTCTGCTGCTGCTCAGCTTTGCGCAGGGCTGCAGCCCCCATCCCTGCTCACCCTGGGGCAGGGGCTGTACCCCAGCCACCCCCCCACTGCTCCCCACATCCTCCCAGAGCCTAACGCCGCTTCACTCACTCCCCGCAGGCAGAAGAACTGAATCCCGCTCCCGGTACCTGCTCTCCTCCAGCATCCAAAGCCTGTCTGATACTGCTCCTACAGCACGGAGCGCTTTGTGGCTCGGGGAGAGGAGAGGGATGGTGATCACAGCGCAGCCGGGTCCGTGGGTGAGCACACAATCAGGCTGGGATGGTTTTCCCACTGGAAAAGCCTCCCTGGGGCTTACGGGAGCTGGGAGCCCATCACCAGCTGCAGCACAAAGTCTGTGCCCCCTTTGCAAACCCCTCGGTCCCCTGCGTGGAGGGGCTGCACACCCGGGGGGGGTCAGCTCTGCTGGCACGGGGAGAGGAGAGCGAGATTTCTCTCTTGGGGGGGGTCTGGGGCAGCAGGGTGAGGGAGCCACTCAACATGGATGGTCTGACCAGGGAGAAGAGCGCTCGGAGAAGGGAGAAGTCAGGCAGAAGTCCCTTTCCTGCATCGCTGCGGGTGGAAGGGGGACAGGGAAGTGGCAAACATGGGGGCAAGTGGGTCTGACAGCCACAGCTGGGGTGCAGAGGGGGGGCAGGCTCCTTCCCTTCACTCGCAGGCTCCATCGGAGACAGGCTCCCCCCCCCATCTCTTCCCAGGCATGATTGCCCATACTCTGCACCCCTTCCCACCCTGCCTGCCCCACTGTGGGGCACACGGTTGCCCTGTCCCCTGTCTGGGTGCTGTGCCAAGGTCCCTTACCTGCTGGGGGGGCACCCTGGGGGGCTAGAGGCTGGGGCAGGTGGCCAGTGCCAGTGTGCTGGAGCTGGCACACGTGTGGCGAGCTGTGCAAAGAGGCTCCAGCCGTGCTTCCCCACCGCAATGCCACCCTCTCCCCAAAAAATACAGGTGGGGGGGGGCTCAACCTGCAGGCTGAGAGAGGGGCCAGGCGGCCGGGGGTCTCTGAACCAAGAGGAATGAGCAGCTCTGGCTGCAGCAGGGAGAGAGGTAAAATCCCCTCTACAGGGTTATTTAAGCAGTTTGAAAGGTGCAGGGGTTCCGGAGAGGGGTGTGGGGCAGCCCCCCTACCTCCCCAGAGCATCACCCGCTGCCTGCCCGAGGGGCAGCCCCAGGGGGGGGCTGAGGGGCCACGGGCTGCAAATAAATCAACTCTATATTTGGGGAGGGGGGGGGATGAAGGGTGAGGGGAGACAGCCCAGGGGGGAGCAACACCTCATCCCGCCGGGAGAAAAGCTCGCTGGGAGGGAA